TCAAAGAGATGATTGAGCCAAGGGACCAAAATCCTCATGTATATATAGATGTTCTCCCATCAAGAACATTTATCATCACCAACTCATAACGTTCAAGAATTAATTCAAATTTGTAACGTTTGGACCATAATGAAGAACTTAATGATATTAAATATTTAATTTATTAATAACGGTTTCATGCATAAAGAATAAGAAACTGAAATCATTTAAACCATAATAAATGAAGAAATTCATGATTATGAATCTTAATAAGAACGGTTACGTTATTATTAAATAATATATTTAATAATAACCGTTACATAAAAACCCACGAAACCGAAAAACTATGCATAATAGAATTAACTAGGGAGAATGTATATCCCTGAAAACCTATAGATCTATAGGATAGGATGAAAGTAGTCAATTGTCCTCCTCTCTAGTGGTAATCCACATAGTAAGGGGTGTGAAAATGCTCCTCAAATTGCTACCCAAAACTCTTCCTTACGTGCACCACGCAATCAAGAAGAGGCTGCCCCTTCTTGTTATCCACACGGCCCAAATAGGGGCTGCAGTATGAGGAGAGGGGGAGAGGAGAATAGAATGAGCGAGATAGTGAATGCCCGGCACATGAGGGCGTCCGATATGCCGTATAGAGCCATTTGGGCTCCAAAGGTGGCGACATGTTCCGTTGGGTCGGAGCTACCGTCATAAGCTTCAAGAAAAGGGAGCCGGAAGCTCGAAGGGACTGGCTTGTCCTGAATCTCAGGTGTGAAAGGCGATCCTCCTGAAGAGGCATCGCCAAGCTCTTCTTTGGACTTGTAGAACTCTCGCTGAACCTCATCCAAACGCCGATTTACCAAGCGTAGTTGTGCCCCGAGAGAGTTTGCCAAGTCAAATGACAATGTGTCGGGCTCAGGACTGTCGGAGCGGGGGTGTCGGAGGCTTCGCAAGCTGCGCACAAGCATTGGCCTCGGATTCAACCGCCACTTGGGAGAGGAGATGTCATCCGTCGTCTTGGGCTACCGGGGGATCAGTGGTGGTGCCGGAGAGGGTGGAGGCTACATGGGTGTAGGAGGCGGCAACTCTCGCTGCGGTGTGGGCGGGTGCGTTGGGAGCTGCCCGAGGGGGGAACACGAGCGGGACGATGGTTTGCATCATCCCCGCGAGAACCTGAATTTGGTGTGTTAGGTTGAGGAATGCCTCAACGGAGATGGAAGGTTGAGCGGTAGCCATTCCCATGGGTGATAACCCTAGGTCCGTGGATAGTCACCAATAGCGCCCCGGGGCCTCCAAGGAGCCATTCGCCACCGGCTCAAGGGGAGGTGGGAGTCATTCCCCAAGCCCGGGAGTCGAGTGGGCTAGGAGGCGCTCATTGCCCAATTGTTCAGCTATGTTGCCTGGCTGGGAATGATCTTGGGATATCGAGACCCTCCTTCTAGCGCCAAAATGATAGTGATCCTTTACGTCGTAGTAGAGGGAGTTAGCACGGCTTGGTTCAGTCCCGGGTGCGCAAGATCATCCACATTGCACTCAGACGACGAGGATCGTCATCTGGTAAGGTCGGGCTTGGCCTCTGGCTTGAAAGTCTAGAAACTCCCATTGGTTGGCCGCTTGCCTCACTATTATCGGTCCCTGCACACAGGTCGGAGTCAGGAAGGGGGCTTCCTATTTCGACCCCTTTGAAAATTTTATTAGAACTGGGTGAAAAATGAGCCAAAGACCACCTGTTGTCGGCCCTACGATGGGTTTTTATCCCTCTGCTGGGGACCAGCCATACTTGTCATATTTATGATTACCGACCCTCCGGGCGACGGACTTACTCTTGGGGCGGATCTTGGGCATCTTCGGCGTCACGATGTTATGCAGTGATGTTGTACTATGTGCCATCCCGACCTTTACGAGATGACGTTGTACTTGGTCGGCACCGTCCAGATCTCTGTGGGATGGCGCTGTGCTTGGTTAGTGCTGACTCGATCTTTGCAAGATGACGCTTTACTAGGTCGGCACCATCCGACCTTTAGGGGACGACATGGTATTCGGTCAATGCCATCCCGATCTTTGCGGGGCGACACTGTACTCGGTCGATGTCGTCCGACCTTTGCGAGATGGCATGGTACTCAATCGGCGTCGTCCAACCTTTGCGGGACGACATGGTACTTGGTCGACGTCGTCCCGATCTTTGTGGAATGGCACGGTACTCAGTCAGTGCCATCCCGATCTTTGTGGGACGATGCTGTACTTGGTCGGTGCTGTCCGACCTTTGCGGAACAGCATTGACCGGGGGGTTCGGTCCGTTTGTTAACCTTGACGCTGATGTGGTTGTGCACAGTGGTTGGAGGGTAGGTAACCAAAATATGCACTATCAACCATCCTAACCTAAAATCTTAAAATTAATATACCCAATCTACAAGCATAAGAGATCTGAATCAAACCTAACCTATAGGTTAGATTCCTCTACTTTCTGTGTTGTATACATGGAGCCTGAGGCATAGTTACAGTTTGATATTTAATATAAGACAAATACTCTAGTGTGTGATCATAACTATTTCCGGGCTTTCATACTCATCAGAAGTGACTTTCAATAGCTACTCTCTCGTTCCCTCTAACAAGATGTTTGCTTCTCTTCGAGTGTCTCTTTGATGCTTTCTATATCATTAATTGAACTCGCGTCTAACTGTGCCATGGCTCTCTCATCATCAGCTCTCGCAATTTTGACAGTCTTTTTATGCCCAAATGATCAACAGATTACTTTCGCTTGTGCCGTCGTAAGAATATTGTAGATTCAAAACATAGTTAAGACTGCACTGGAATTAAACTTGTTCTTTTAATTTCTCGATATGGATGATTAGCTCTCATGATGACCCGATAAGGACTGCTGCAGACAGCAGTAGATGTCGAGAAGCTTCATTTCTCGTTTGAGAATACGGAGGCTCCTGAAACCAATGGGACCAGCTGATGTAGAGGGACGGAATGGATGGCCAAGCATTCACAGTGTCTTCTGTTTTCTTGTTGGAGTTTGCCTGTGGCTGGCAAACACAGGTACGAAGCTTAGGAATATATTTGAACTCAAGCAACAGGAAATTAAGTTAAATTTGCACTATCTTCTTCGACCTTTACCGATAAAGTCTCTCTTCGGCAACTTCTTGATGTTGATCTTTTTGTGTCATATCCTAAATTAAAAAAATAAAAATATTATTTTATTATTCATAATTTATAGAAGAATTTTTTAATTTAAATTAATATCTTTATAATATTAAATACTTTTTCTTGTCACGAGTGATAAAAAAAAATTTCCATTCAAACCTCATATCTATTATAAAATAGTAGATTACTTTAAAAAATATAGAATAAAAACATATCAATAGCCATATATTCTGAAAAATCATGAAAATAATTTTTAATATTCATGAGACATATATAAATATCAATAATCTAATATAACATGATAAAATATTAATTTATTATGAAACATATATATCAGTAAAATAATAATAATTTTTATATAGTAAATAAAAGTATGCATCAATCATATATAATACTTGCATATATGCATACATAATAATAAGATAACAAATGCGTATATTATACCTTATGATATACTCTCCTAACAACGGATGAAAAGACATATTTTATAGGATGGATTCATCTCAACAATGAATGGAGAAAACTTCTATTGCACTCCCAACAGCAGATAAAGTGGTATTAATTACCCAACCAAGTAAAGACACATTCCTCTTAATAATAGATACATAAATTATTTAACCATCACGGGTTATTAATCCTCAAAGGGAATCATCTTACCTGCTCTCGATAGAAATACATAGTTAACTATAATTATTTATTTATATTCATCCATTTATACATACTTGCATCCAAATGGTATAGTAAAATATTATGAGAAACTATGCTTAATGTATGATCTACTAGACTAAGACCATTGGTAGCTTCATATTATAATAACTCATAACTCCTTTTATATATTATACTTTCAATGTCGATCATTCAACATAGATATACTATGGTAATAATTATATTAATATCATCAATTTAATTTTAAAAAAATTAATAATCATTTTCAAGTGATATCTTTAGATAAAATTTTTAAATTTATTAAATCATAAAGATATGAAGCATCAATCTCTCATCTTCAATCAATTAAAACTCTAATTGGAATAGTCCAATTGATCTAAACTAAACTTAATTCATTTAGGACGTAACAGAACCAACCTCGAATCATTATAAAACTATATTGCTCCCCACTTAATAAAAATTTAATCCCAAATTTGATATAAAAATGATATTAATTTAAGTATTCTATACAAAACATTTCATTTTTGTGCCTCGGACTTTTCTGCTTTCTGCCACAACTTGCTGGAGTTTGCCCGCCGGCAAACACAAGTACGAAGCTGTCTGAATATATTAGAACTCGAGCAACAAAAAGTTTAAGTTCAATTTGCACAATAGCTGCTGATATTCTCCGACCTTTACCAAATAGTCTCTCTTTCCCAACTTCTCGTTCATCTTTTGAGTGCATGAGTTTGACGTTTGATGAATGTGGTCAAGTGGGTCTTTATAATGTCGTACATGAGCTGTTCATGGGTGCCTCATTTTTCCGAGGTCCCTCCAAGGTCTTACGAATAATTCATTATAGGAAGTCTTCTCTTGAGTCAAGAGTGAGAATGACAATTATCCCCCTTTTCTTTTTGTTCTTAATTTTTAATAATTATTTTTTCTCGTCCTTCTTTGTATTTCTCCCTATTGCTCGTCGGTACTAAGTATAGGCTAAAACATTTCATCCATCCTGCACCTTTGCTTTAAACTGGTAAGGGAAGCATTTATAATTGCATGGAACACATAAGTGATGCATGGATCGACAAGTATCTCTCTCGAGTTGTGAATGCACAGAAACCTTGGTCATCTTACCTTGTTCACTTCAGTGCTTTGTGGCAGTATGCTTGGTGGCGGTGTCGTGCAAGCAGATTCCCTTGACCGGAGGCCACGCAGTAGTAGTAGCATTTGATGTGCCATTCGAGTTGTTAACCTTCCAAGCTTCTAGCACAGATCTCAGGTCTATGAGCTTAGCTTTCATGCTGGCACAACAGTTCGCATGAACCGTAATCACTTTCCTCAAGTCCTGACTCATTTGACAGAACCCACTAAAATAGGTTGTCTCCAAGGCCCTCACTCTCAACCCCAGCCGCGTGAACGCGCCCTCCCTCTTCATCTTCTGCAACACATCTTGATCTTTCATGCCTTTCGAGTTGTTCCTCCACGCATACCACTCGTCGAACAGTGCTATGGTCTTGTTGTTTGCTGTCACGAAATAGAAGCCGGTGTTGAAGAAGGAGTTATCGAATGGTTTGCCGTAGTAGAAATCACTGCTCATCTGAAGGTACTCTCCATCACGATACAACTGTGAGAACGGATTCCGTAGCCACATGACATCCATATCCTGATAGCAAAGACAACATAAGAAGTGTCGCAGTTATATACAATCACTAGGATGGTTTACTATGACTTACGGTGAAGATGAAGTTGTAGCCGCGCCGGAGGACATCTCCGAGGAAGAGAGTTCTTCGCCACATCATGTTGTTGAATGCATCAGACATGTAGAAGACTTCCTTGGAGAAGTCGACGCCCTCGGTTACGAGATTGTAGCAGTGAAGCTCCAGGGTGCGGCATCTGTTGAAGGCCCTCTGGTCGACGGCGACGAAGAGAAGATGGTCGATCAAGAATTCGGTGTCCTCCCCTTCTCCAAGACTTTGCAAGAACAGATCCAGCATCGCATTCTGCTCCACGTACGCCTTGTTCAGTATCGCGATGATCAAAGTCCTGTTCTCCATGGCGACCCCCTCTAGTGCTGATTCCAGTTCATCTTTTGGGGTAATCTCCGTCTGACCACACGCAAAATACAAGCTAATTTCTGAGTTCTCTGTGCGTACTGTTCAGCATATACTCTGTGTGGATTAACTTACAGTATTTGCACCATTTTGCAAGCGGAAGAAAGCTGTGGGTACTCCAGGCGGCCATAAGCAGGCATAAATGACGACCAAAACGAGAAGAGGGGCGACGACGATGAACGCGGTGGCACGGTAGGAAATGGCGCCGGTGATCGAGAAAGGCAGTAGTTCAAAGGTGACGTGCCTCTTTCGGCTTCTTTCCATCGAGATCTGAGGCAGTTGACGATCCAAAAACTGGGGGCGGACAGATTGACGAAGGCTTGAGAACTGTTGGTATCACAAAAGCATTCCCTGTGTTTGCTTTTGTGGAAGACTTCTTCTTGTCTTCTCCCTTGGAACCTAATTTTCTCGTGTTGGACAGACTGCAATGACATAGGCGACCATTGGTTGTTGGGAGAATGAATGGGCTGGGAATTGGTGGATTTTTTAGTGCCTTGATCGTTACCATTTCTACTGCTTTGCATGTGCAAAAGCAATAATTATGTGTGTGTATATACATGTATTTATACATAAATACTTATATATATACATATATTTATACACATATATATATATATATGAATATACATGTATATATATATACACACATATATATATATATATATATGTATATATATATATATACATGTATATATATATATATTATAATTTTTTATTATAAATTTTTAATATGTTTGATGAGAGATTTTAAAGAGTTTTGACTTACAATTTTATTATTATTTTTGTTATATCGATTCAACTCTTGAAATTTCAGCTCTCTTTCAAATGAGATTTGAGTTTCAAGTCTTTGAAATATTTGCTCTCTTTCATATTTGGTCCAAGTTGGGTTTCTTTTTCTATCACATTCAAAATGACTCATCCTTTTCTCTTGTAACCTCTTCCCGATCGTAAAAGTCTATTATCGATCACCTTCGAGTAAGGATCAGTAAAAGACTCCAAAGTTCTCCCCATGTTTCCTTTTCCTGCTCTTTGGACAAATCTTTTTTTTTTTCTTTCTTCATTTTTGTTTTTATGTTAGTTTTCATTTTACTTTCTGTTACATATTTAGCCTTTACATAATATTGAAATATGAAGATAAGATTCAACCCCAAAAACTTAGCTAGTACAACCATAAGACTATTAATTTATTTATTGGTTAAATTAGCTAGTACCTTCAAATACGATAATAGTGTTTATATGTGAAAATCTAAAGCTTAATGCAATGATGTACAACCATAAGACTATTCCCTTCGAGTTTTAAAATCAATAACATAAATAAGATTGTATGCATTTACCATCCTAACCTAAAATCTGAAAATTAATGTACCCCATCTACAAACATAAGATTTGAATCAAACCTAACCTATAGGTCAGATTCCTCTACTTCCTGTGTTGTATATGTGGAGCCTGAGTCATAGTTACAGCTTGATATTTAACATAAGACAAACATCATAGTGTGAGATCATAACTAACTATTACCAGGCTTTCGTACAAAACTTTGAGTAGCCTTCAATAGCTAATCTCGTTCACTCTAACTAGATGTCTACTTTTTTTTAGGCATCTACTTTTATTTCATTATCTACAAAACATACTTATTCAATAACTATAATGTACCAATTAATAAGATTTGTCCAAAATCTGAATAATTTTCTACTGCTTCAGTCAAATTCAACTATTTCAATGAGTGACAAATTAATTTGAAAAATTTATATAACAACAGAGTAAACTATAAAATTTAGTAAATGACTAATATATCTATAATGAGAGAAAGTAGTTCATACGGACTTAACACTAAGGTGCCAAGCAAATATACAAGAATTCATAGATATTTTTGTATTAGATAAAAAATTCACAAATGTCATTTCATCATAATCATACTTTGTTCATAATACTGGAGTAAAGAATGTTTAGAGTATATCAATAACATAAAAAATATTTCTACGTATATTAATGACATAAGAAATATTTATGAGTATATAAGTAACTTATGAAATATTTAGGTATATATCAATGACGTATGAAACATTTAGGTGCATATCAACAGTTTTCAGCACTTCACTTTTTTGTCAGCTTTCTTTCTTGGTAAATGATCAGACCCTATGAAACATTCGTATTCCCCTTTAGCAAGCTTTAAAATAAGGAAATAGGATCCCAATTAGTTCCATATCACTGAAAATTCATATACTGTTATCGGTACTCTTCTAAAACAATAGCCCAAATCGATAGAAACCATATTGCATCATCAACAAAACTTTCTCAAAAATATTAGAAAAGGTGAGACATAAACTTATTTTTTATACCTTTCTCAGCAACAGAGACATCAACATCATGTGGCTGAGGAATCAAAGAACAAGCTGACATAGACCCACATTCAAGATGCCATGTATATAGCAACTCGGAAATGCATCAGCCCTACCACTTAAAGACCACATTTGTTGACTCAAGTTGTAAACCACTGCATCGCCTTGACATAGAGATCCGATCTCACTCGGGCAAATCGCTTGACGACGCGTGTGTGTATGCGCTAAAATACCTGACCCGCAGCCGGTTCAATCGGCCCATATCTCACAACATTAGCCGGTCCATTAATGATGGGTTCAATGGTGACACATACCCATTCATGGCTTAGTCTTGATCACACGGCACCTTTGGAAACTTAGGTTCTTAAACCTACTCCGTTGGCCGTCGTCTCCTAATTAAGCATGCACCGGAATCAAAGATCATATACCTATCACAAATTAATTTAGGTGATTGCCTCACTATCTTTGGTATCTTTGGGAATAAATGTTATATAATCGCATATTGGAAGGTTACCAGTAGTAAGTGCGGATGATTAGTAGTGAAGTGAATCCATCAATTTCTTTTAATTTCTCGATATGGATTATTATAGCTCTCATGATGACCCGATCAAGAACTGCTTCAGACTGCAGTAGATGTAGAGAAGCTTCGCTTCTCGTTTGAGAAGACGGAGGGGAGGCTCCTGAAACCAATGGGACGGAATGGATGGCCAATCATTCTATACAAATCATTTCGTTTCTCTGCCTCGGTGTCTTCTGTTTTCTTGCATAATTTGCTGGAGTTTGCCTGTGGCCGGCGAACACAGGTACGAAGCTTAGGAAATATATTTGAACTCAAGCAACAGGAAATTAACTTTAATTTACACTATATCTTCAACCTTTACTAATAAAGTCGCTCGGCCAACTTCTCGTCGATCTTTTTGTTTCATATCCTAAATTGTTTTTTTAAAAAAATATTATTTTATTATTCATAATTTATAGAAATATTTTACTTTTAAATTTAAATGAATGTTTTTATAATATTAAATATTTTTAATTAATAAATATATATTTCTTTTAGGGTCACGAGTGACAAAAATAAAATAAAATTTTCATCCAAACCTCATATCTATTATAAAATGGTAGATTACTCTTAAAAAATATTAAAAAAATACATCAGTAATCATATATATTGATAGTAACTTCTGAAAAATTATAAGGTTAATTTTTAATATTTATGAAACATATATAAATATCAATAATCTAATATAACATGATAACATATTAATTTATTATGACATATATATATTAGTAAAATAATAATAATTTTTATATAATAAATAAAATCATGTATCAATCACATATAAATGAGATACATAACAAATGCGTATATTATATCTGATTATACACTCTTATAATAGTGGATGAAAATACATACTTTATGGGATGGATTCGTCACAACAAATGAAGACAGCTCCTATTACACTCTCAACAACAGATAAAGTGGTATCTGTCACCCAACCAAGTGAGGATACATTCCTTTCAATAATAAATATAGAAATCATTTAATTATCATGTTTAATGGGTTATTAATCCACGAAGGGAATTATCCTATCTACCCTCGATAGAGAAACATAGTTAACCATAATCATTCATTTACATTCATCCATTTATTTATGCTTACATCAAAAAAATAATATAGTAAAATATAATGAGACACTATGATTAATATATGACCTACTAGACTATACTCATTAGTGATTTCACATTTTAATAGACTCATTACTTCTTTTATAAGTTATACTTCCAATGTAGATCATTCAGTATAGTTACATATATTACAAGGTAATAATCATAATAGTATCATCAATTTAATTTAAAAAACTAATAATTATTTCTAAATGATACTTTTAGATAAAATTCTTAAATTTATCAAATAATAAATATCCAAGGCATCAATCTCTCATCTTCAATCAACTAGAACTCTAATTATAATAGCCTAATTAATCTAAACTAAACTTAATTCAATTATGACCAAATAGAACCAATATCAAATCATTATAAAACTAATTTTAAATCATCCAAAACTGATCTATTTTATATTTAATTAATCTTAATTAGTTCAAGTAGGTTAAAACTTAATAAGTTAGTCTAGAATCAACTTCAATCGACTTAAACTAATCAAAATGATTCAGTCAACTAACAAGCTCAAATCAGGAAATTAGACTATATCGTATTGTAATATCCTAGATTGAATTGACTCATCTAAGTTTTGGATGGGTCACATGCACTATACATGCTTATCTCAGGTAAAATATTAGATTGAGGTGCAATGGACTGAATAAAAGGACAACGACATATTTAGGCTGGTCACATAATTGCATGGGCCTAGCTTCGCGGTATATGTTGAGCCTCACTTACAAATTAGGTTGAGTCTTACTATTAAACTAGGTCATGCTTAGCTCATGGGTTGGGTCTTGCTTAATCGCATAAGTTGAGTCATTTTTAATCAGATAGATTGAATTGTATTTGATTATATGAGTTGAATCATACTTAGTCACATAAGTTGGGTTATGCATAACCATAAGGGGTTTAATCATATTTTACCATGTGAACTAGTATGGCCAATCAACTTAGCCCAATCTCAAATTTTTAATTTTATTATTTTAAAAGATACTTTAAAATATCATAAAATGTAAATTAATCTCAAATCTATTTTTTTTTATAAATGAACTAATTTGGATTCATGATCATAAATTTAAAACTAATTAAATCATAAAAATTCATACATAATTTTTAAAGCATAAATATATCTAATAAAATAAATTAAAAATATTATTAGATTAACTCATCATTCTAATATTATAATTTAATGACAATTATTTATAAGTATAAAATATAAAATTAAAATATTTTTATGAATCATAAAAATTATAATAATTTAAATATCAGAGATTTTAAAATATAAATAAAAACTAATAACAAAAATAGAGGATCCTATCTCTTCTCGGAGAATCCTTTTCTAATCCTCCCACTACCGAGAGGATAAAGGAAGGGAGAGCAGGAGAGATGAGTTTTTTTTTCAAAAAGATAAATAATAATTTTTTTTTTCTTTTAAAAATTTTAATTTATTTTTACACACAAAGATAAAATTATAATATTTACTTTTTATGGTTCATACACAAAAATAGAATTCAAATTATTTACTTTCTAAAAATACATCACTCATTAGAAAAATAAATAATAATTTAATTAATTGATAAAATTACTAATTTATCCATGAGATTAAGGAAATCAATTTTAATTATTTCCTTAATCATATTATACAAACAAGAAAGTTAATAATTTAAATAAAATAAAATATTTTTATGATAATTAATTTATATTAAGGGAGAAAAATATCATGCATAATTATATTGCTCCCCACTTAATAAAAAATTGATATAAAAATGATATTAATTTAAACATTCTATACAAAACATTTCATCTTTGTGCCTCGGAGTTTGCCCGCCGGCAAACACAAGTACGAAGCTTTCTGAATATATGAGAACTCGAGCAACAGGAAATTTAAGTTCAATTTGCACTGTAGCTGCTGATATTCTCCGAATAGTCTCTCTTTCCCAACTTCTCGTTCATCTTTTGAGTGCATGAGTTTGACGTTTGATGAATGTGGTCAAGTGGGTCTTTATCATGTCGTACATGAGCTGTTCACGGGTGCCTCATTTTTCCAAGGTCCCTCCAAGGTCTTACGAATAATTCATTATAGGAAGTCTTCTCTTGAGTCAAGAGTGAGAATGACAATTATCCCCCTTTTCTTTTTGTTCTAAATTTTTAATATTTATTTTTTCTCTTCCTTCTTTGTATTTCTCCCTATTGCTCGTCGGTACTAAGTATAGGCTAAAACATTTCATCCTGCAACTTTGCTTTAAACTGGTACGGGGAGCATTTATAATTGTATGGAACACATAAGTGATACATGGATCGACAAGTATCTATCTCGAGTTGTGAACAG